TGTATCTTTGAAGGAGTACTAGACCCAGTTCATGCATGGCCTTTGGTTGATGCTTCAGTCTCAGCAAACCCCTCTGGATCCTGGTTAGTTGGCTATGTTGGTATTGTTGCCTCCTGTCATTTCTGGGTTCCTTTCTCTTTCCTCCCACTATTCCCCAACACTCCCTACACATAGACCAATGTTTGGCTGTGAGTCTCAGCATCTGTTTTGAGGCACTGCTGGGTAGAGCCTCTCAGAGGACAACTCTGACAGGCTTTTGTCTGCAAGTTTAGCAGAGCATCATCCATAATGTCAGGGGTTGGCACCCTCCAGTAGGGTGGATCTTTGGTTGGAACAGGCATTGGGTGGTCATTCCCTAAGTCTCTGCTCTATCTGCGCTATCTTTAGACCTGCACATCTCATAGCAGGGTAAATTTTGGGTTGAAGTTTTTTGTGGGTGGGTTGGTGTTCCTATTTATTTATTTTTTAATACAACCATTACATATTACACAAAATTAAAGTCAAATGAATTTGGCATTTATAAATTATTAAGTTAAACTACAGAAATATATATATTTGTAGTGCTTTATCTCTTTTTCCAAACTAACCAAATTTATTCTCCTCTTGTTTATGATTTAAAAGAATAAAGTAGTATATGTATACCCTAGTTTAAATGGGAGTAGGATTAATAATTGCCTGACTGAGTTGCCCCACTTCCATTTCTTCGTTGGCCTGAGCAAAGCCCCTGTTTTTCCTTTTTGACTTTGGAGCGTAAGAACATCCTCTCCATAGATTTAATATTTGAAAAATTATATCCATTTTTCTCATTTAAAAAATGAAATATATTTAAATATTGGGAACCATACTCAGCCTTTTTGGCCAAGAGCTAATGCCAAGGATCTATATGGCTCTAAATACAGTCCCTGGTTCTCCCTGACAGAAGAGTCTCTGGGATTCCACTGGCCCTTAAAATGAAGGGCAGAACAGGTCACAACTCCCCACTATGCTCCCATCTAAACTAAGCTTCTGGGAATCCAGACCAAGCCCTTTACTTTATCATAACACATTAACCCTGCCATCCATCCCTGTGAAGGCTTGAGAGTAGAGCATGGTGATACACTGACCATGATCCCCCCTACTTCTATTTGCTGATGGCTCCCAGGAGTGCTAACTTGGGCCAGTGTCCCAGAGAGTCTTCCCTGAACTTGGAGGAACACAGACTCTGGTTGGAGTGGATGATCTAGCCAGTGTTTTTCAAACTTTTTTCAGCAGGAAGCTCTTACCACAAAGAAAATCTTACCCTGAACGCTGATCCATAAGGCAGCTACAAGGAAAGCTGTTCTGTCTGAGGGTAAATTGTCTAGCCTTCCACTCCTTCATCTCCCTAAGGACTCTTGAGGCACCCCCTAGGATACTTCAGCACTCTGCCAAGCAGTTTGAAAACCACCAACCTGCTTTGTCCTGAGCAACTCAGAGCCTCCCACTCCAACTGCTTGCCACAGAAAGCTCTGAGTTTCTTAGATCAGCACATTCATAACAGACCAACTGGCACATGCAGTCTCCTACATTTCCAACAGACACCAATAAAAAGCGCAACCTTTTCTCCAAAGCAAAGTCTGTATTAAACACCTGAGGCCAATTTGGTCCTATATTCTAGCAAGGACAATATGATGCCACATTCTAGGACCAAGTGAAAATTCAAGTCAACTATGGTGTCACTAATTTGATCAGTGGTCGGGATTACAGGTAGGGGTCTACAGCATACAGCACTGTGAATGAAGTCAGCACTGGAGAGCCGTAATGTTAGTACCTTGGAAAGTGCAGCAGTGAGGTCTGGCTCAGGGCATGCATTTAGAGTGAATAATTTCTTCCTCAAAAAAAAAAAAAAAAGCTATAGTCTGGATATGTTCTAGAGGACTAGTCTGACAGTTCTAATGTTATCATCTTCAGGAACTCAAGTACGGGCAATAGCACCCATGCAAAGAGCATGGCTTCAAAAGAAACATAAATGTTTTTAGGTCATGGCAGATACTCTAGAAGCCATATATCTGGCCCTTGATAAAGCAGCACCGAAACCCACCACACAGAATAGGCCAGTCAAAGAATACCTGTCACCATCACACCCAAGGGGCTCAGAGCTAGAATGGTCCTCTCCAGGCATCAGCAGGCTCTCTGAGACAGTTCAGGACCCAAATTGAATTCTAGACCAGCATTTATGTCCATATATTCTAAAGAAAAATTAGACCCCAATTTAGAGTTTTAGCTGGATAAAGAGGTCCTAGAAAGAGGCAACACTTTAAGCACCATCATGCCTCCATTAGAGGGGAAGGTGGCAGGCAGGTCATATTACCAAAGCTTCTACACACCCAGGCTCCACAGCCTTACTCTCTGTCAGCCCAGGTGCAAAAATACACACAAAAGGGGGACAATGAAGAGCAAGGCCAGCTGCAGACCTCTTCTCTCCAAAGCCCCTGCCAACTTTCAGCAGTGCCAGGGCCCTCATCTAGATACAGTATTCCTCCCTCAGCCTGCAGGCATAAGGTCAAGGGATGGGGCAGAGGGGAGAAGGGCAGTGAACTGGCCTTTGTTCTTGCAGCTGCAAGAAGGAATGTTTTCCCTAAGTGTCCCCTCACTAGATTGGTCAAACAGCCCAGCATGTACATGAACACGGATGCATGTGTCTATGCTCATGCAACCTAAAGCCACAGCCAGTCACCTGATCACCAAGCATCCATTCCTAAGGGAAGTGTATTCTAGGTTCCTTAAACCCTGTTCATCTAATGGAGACACAACTCTTTAAATAAGTTCACCTTCCTTGGAGCTACAAGCCACAAGTAGTTGTGTGCCCATAACATGGGAATGGTTCCTTCCACCTACCCCCAAGTCCTGGGATGACTTCATCTTCTGTGCTTCTGGCCTTGAAACATTCCTTAATGTCTCCAACTCATTCTTTCTGCCACCTGCCTGGCATGCTTATCTCCCTCACATACTACCTTCCCTCTCCCTTCTGTGGTCCATGACCATTAAATTTCTTCCAAGGGCAGTCTCTATTCTTTCCCAACTCTCCTGGCCCTTAACCCCACCTAGCCCCACCTGGCCCTAGACTTTCTCACTTGCTAGCAAAAAAGCCCCCTACAGTTATCAGGGTCCTCAGGGCCCCCAGTGCCACAGTCCCCATCAGCACTGTCCTCACTGATGCCCAGTTCCTGTGGGCACTGTGCCTCCTCTGGTGCCTGCTATAGAGTTGTGAACTCTGCCTGTGGGAGAGAAGGGAAGTAGAGAAAGGAGAAAGGGGGATCTCAGGAAAGGAGAGCGGAGAGAAGAGGGAAGGAAGAGTTCCAGTTCCATCCGCTGAGCTCTGCCCTACACCCAGCTCCTTCAGCCGAAGCTCTACTGCCTACAAGGCCCTCAGAAGCCCCCACTCTGGCTCCTCTGCACTGTCTGCATCAAGTGAGCCCCATCCCTTCCTTGCAAAAAATTCTGTTCAGAACTTGCATCCTCTGCTAAGGCTTGCCGAGCCCCGACACATCCCTGTCCCTCCTCCTCACCACCCATGTTATGTGACTCGAGTTGCTCCTTTCTCTGAAAGCTCTCTTTGGGAACTGTTTATAAAACTCTTCAGCTTGTGACCCTGAAAGCTATCCAGCGATTACTGCATGGCAGCCTGGGAGTATGGAATTAGCTTGATGCTCTCAGTCTGATTCCACTTAAATAGGCGAACTCAGCCCAATGGCTCTTTTTCAGCACAAATGCCCCAGTCTTTCATCAGAGACCCCATTTCCCCTTGAAGACCAACTTCTCAGAGGAATGGGTAGAGCAGCATTTGAGAAGCTTCTTACTCAGCTCCCACTGCTGTGGATCCTGTCAGCCAGGTGTGTCTCTAGGTAGGCCACCATCCAACCGTGCACCTGTCCCACCAGTGGTTCCATTTCTTTGTTGACACTCTCAGCACACAGGGCAGACCCAAAGACAATGCCACAAGATGATTCCAATTGGGGCCCCCTTGGAAAAATTCATAGGAAACCTGGGTGAAGAGTTGCTGGGCTGAGCCTGGGATCATGTGTTGCAGCCAGGTCGGAGAAGGTGCACTGGAACTGGGTCTCAAATTTGTCTCCAGCAGCCTACATGGCTTGTTGCAGTAGATTTGATGCTGGCCCTTTCCCAGGGCCAGCTCTACAGACATAACCCTTCTGCCTCAGCTTATAGCCTACAAAGTCAGCCATGCTAGCCAGTGTGTCTGGGGCTGAGGCTAGGGTTGTCACCCAGGTGGCCAGTCTGAATGGCAGCTCTTAGAACCCAGTGCTGGTGGCAGGGAACCCCCAACTGATGTCTCTCATACTCCCAGCCAGCGGCTAGCATGGAGTCCTGAAAATGAGAGGGAGAGAGAAGGACTAGGCTAAAAAGGCCAGGGAACTGAGTTTGGTCCAGAAAGGACTGGAAATGCAGCTCCTGGGACTGGGCCTGTGCCTCCAATACTTTGCCAGCTGTGTGGCTGATTCCATTTTTAAGGACTGTCCTCTGGAGAAACCTGGGACCATGGGCTTCCTGCTGACACCATCTCTACTTCAGGTTCCCTCAAGAACAGCCCAAAGGCTTCTAACGGTTTTCATTAATTCTTTTACACAAATTCAGTACTAAACAAAATACTTACTCTGTGAAGTAGAAAAATAAAAACCACTTCACTCTGGATTATGGAAAATTACATATTTTGTAAAGGACTGCATGAAAAATGTTAAGTTAATTCTTGACTATTTTCAGATCAATGTCCACAGTGACCATGGGGCAGTCAGTGACAAAATTTCTCACAAAGTAGATCTTTAACAGATTCAATCACAGAAAGCAAATTATTAGACTCTTACTCTTAGTGACTCTAAAGTTCCCTACCTATAGTCTACTTAGAAGAGGGACATATTAAGAACAGCTCAGAATCAAACATATTTAGTGTGTCTCAGTGAAAAAGAACTTTTAGAAACCGAATTGTAATCATTTTGTCTACCATTAAAGATAGTAATTTAGCCTAGATGGGCTTTCAGGACCTTGTGACTCAAGTTGGCAGCTGGGGAGGTTCCAGATCCTTCCCGTGGTTTTTGTATTGCTGTGCAGTGCCATGGTGGTTCCTCAAAGTCTTCTGGAGAACTTCACTGCAGCCATCCCTGGTCATCGCTGCTGGGTCCCCATCCTTGACAATGACAGCGGGATCCTGAGCCAAGATGACCTCCTGAGGGTCTCCATCCCATTGGACTCCAACCTGAGGCCAGAGAAGTGTCATCGCTTTGTTCAACCACAGTGGCATCTTCTTCATCTGAATGGCACCTTCTCCAGTGTGACAGAGCTAGACACAGAGCCCTGTGTGGATGGCTGGGTGTATGACCAAAGCACCTTCCTTTCCACCCATAGCTTCTATATCCCAACAGTATCTTTCAAGCAGTACAAAAATTACAACAGCAGTACAAAATAGTTACATTCCATTTTTAAAATAACTGAACAATTACAATGAGTATACACATAAAAACCCATATTCCCTAATACCATCACATGATCAAATGTGTTATGTATTACAGGTGAAAAACAAACTAGTACCAAGAATTCATATACATTTGTATCTACGTAACTTGTTATAGAGTAACAAAGTGTAAGCAAGCAAGGTAATTTTCTCAGCCTGTTTTTCTTACTGGCAGGTTGAAATTTGTAGTTACAAAATAATTTTATTATTATTATTATTTTAATCAAATTTTTACTTTTTATATTAATTACAGTTTATTCACTTTGTATCCCAGCTTTATCCTGTTCCCTCATTTCCTCCCAATCCCACCCTCCCTCCCTCATCTCCTCCCATGCCCCTCTCCAAGTCCACAAATAGGAGAGGTCCTCCTTCCCTTCCATCTGACCCTAGCTTATTCTTATCGGGTCTCATCAGAACTGGCTGCATTGTCCTCCTTTGTAGCCTGGCAAGGCTGCTCCCCCATCAGGGGGAGGCGGTCAAAGAGCTAGCCACTGAGTTCATGTCAGAGACAGTCTCTGTTCCCCTTACTAGGGTACCCACTTGGAGACTGAGCTGCCATGGGCTACATCTGAGCAGGGTTTCTAGGTTGTATCCATGAATGGTCCTTGGTTGGAGTATCAGTCTCAGAAAAGACTCCTGTGCTCAGATAATTTGGTCTTGTTGCTTTCCTTGTGAAACTCCTTTCCTCTCCAGGTCTTACTATCTCCTCCTTCTTTCCTAAGATTCCCTGTACTCTGTCCAAAGTTTGGTTATGCGCCTCAGTATCTGCTTTGATCATTTTATCATTTACCTTAAAAAGTAATCTTATAAAAACTTAAAAAAAATCACAAACCTAAACTTTTATATTAAAAACAACCAGTCATTTCTACTTTAAATCCTCAGAGTACACATCCATTCACCAACAGTGTTTTTATTAAATCAATATCAGGAAGCCGAGGGCAAAAATGAGTATAGGAAATTTATCATCATCTTGATCACCAGCCCAGCTTTAGCAAGAAAGGCATGTCAGTTGGTACTAGTTGGGTTGCCATTGTTCTTATCTCTGGCCTTAAAGAATTTCTTGCTCAATAATCAATAGTATGCCCCTTTGAACTCTAAATTGTTCCTCAAGATGTTCTACATCAAAGCCACTAGCAAAAACATCTTAACCTAACTATACTAATAGTCTATATCTCTAAATTTTTTCTAAGGGTGATGTTTGAGTCATTAATGTGCTCCAGCATCAATGCTTGAAAAAAATTAATCACTGTTATTGTAAGTGCTAATGACACTGATCAGTGAGGGGGCTAGAAACCTCCTTAGAGTTTTCATACAACTCATAGATTAGGAGGAATGTGATAACTGTGAGGGCAACAATCTGAGAGATGATCCACAACAGTGTGAAATCCTCAGGACATGTAATCCTTGGGGCTCTGCCTCTCCGAGGCACACTCATTGTGGTTGTGCTCACCAGTGGGTCATAGTACATGAGTTCAAAAGCCATTTGTTGTCCTTTTCCCACAGGCCTCAACAATCATCTGAATCTTTCATTCATTAAGAGGTAGTCATTGTAGATTCATCTATGTGTACCTTTGAGCCTAGAGATCAGTGAACACAAATGAAAATATTAAGTGTTTAAAAGTCCATGTATCATGTGGACACAGAAGTAGCTACTCAAGATATGGTTTGGAGAAGACATGAGACAACATGATTTAGAAAGATAAGAAGAGTTAACTATGGTAATGAGACAACTATGTTTTACCATAAAACTATTTAGTGGACAACAGCATTATCACTCTTGGTCTGGGTCCCTAGGCCCCATGCTTCTCAGACATTACCCTAAACAGTCATGGTGACAAGAGAATAAAAACTGTTTTAATTACTCAGGCATGACAGTGGTCCTTTGATACCTGTGGCATATGGGGCAAGGTGCAATGGGCACTCTGGGAAGCCACCCCTGTTGTTTGTATTTTTACTTTTGCCAAAGTGGAATTTTTCTTAATTTAAAAGAAAAAAAATTCATATACTACATTTTGATCATGTTTTCCCTCTTTCCTAATTTCTCCCAGATGCTTCCTAACTCCTTATATATATACCTTTATGTTATTTTTCTCTCTTCTGTTAAAACAAACAAGAACAAAAAATTAAAAAAAGAAACACACCTCACAAAGCACAAAAATGGAAATCAAAATAAACAAACAAAAGACCAGTGAGATGAGAATTAAAAAAAATACCCAAACAAAGCAAAATGAGATCAAAAGTTTTAAAAAAATACTTTTGAGTTCATTTTGTGTTGGCCAACTATTCCTGGGCATGGAACCTACCCTGAAGTGTGGTTAATATACCCAATGAGACTTCATTGAAGAAAACTTACTTTTCTTTTGCTAGTGGAAATAAATTACAGTTAGTCTCTTGATTAGATATTGGAGCCTCTGTCCACTTCCCTCTCAGTACTGGGACCTTGTCTGGCTTGTGCATGCTGCCACATTCTTTGTGAGTTACTGTGTATATCAGTCCTGATCCATGAAGGTAGGAGTCTGATGAAAACATCCCATTTGCCACTGAGTGCTCCAAAGTTTCTCACTGGACATTGTCCAGTTATGGGTCTCTCTATTAATTCTTATCTACTGCAAGACTTGTGTGATGATAACTGAGCAAGGTAGTGATTCATGAGTTAGCAGTATGTCAGTAGGAATCATTTTATTGCTATGTTCCGTTAGTAGTAAAATAGTAGTAGGGTTTCCTCTATGCCCATGACCTACTTAGTTTCGGGTCCTGGGCCACCTTAGTAGTCTCAGATATAAATCCCATTTCATAAAGAGGGCCTTCAATTCCGCCAGAAAGTAGTTGGTTACTCTATTCACATTTGTGTCACTGTTATACTGGTCCATATTGCAGGCAGGTCCCTGTCAGAGATTACAGGGTTTGTAGCTAGGAGATATTGCTGATTACTTTTCTCTGTGGGTACCAGGCAGAGAACCTTCTAGTACCTTGAATGCTAAATGTTATGGGGTGAAATTTTCAGTTAGGCACATGTTTGACTTCTTCATGTTCACTGATATATTTAAGTGTAGCCTTTAAAAATAGGATCTATCAGGTTGTGAGGAGTTACTTTGACAGGACTGTGATGTTTAGGGGCTTTCCATGAGGCCCCTTTGCTAATGACTCAACAAAATGCAACCCATTCTTGGTATTGGAGATTTCCCTTGGTGGCATGAGATATCTAGTTGGGACATTAGCTCCTTATTATTTGGTGACTGTATTTAGATTCCTTTTATATATGTATATATTTTAGGAAGCCTTTACAGTAGGGTCCCATATGGTTTTTCAAATACCCTTTAGTGCTGGTTGTCTTCCCCATATATAATGGAAATCTTGGTTTATTTGTAAACTCAGTAATGTAAATATGTCTTTGTTCTAATACCAAGTGTGGGATTTTAGTTGTGCTATAGTTCGTCAACAGCTATTAATTGTCTTGAGCTGAGTGTGGCTTTTGCCAGCTGGTAATGGCCTGCCACATGCGGCATGGAGAGGGGCATGGTCTAGGGCTCTAAAGATACAAATTTGAGAGTCCAGAAAGAGAGGCATGACATGCAGTGCTGTACTATGTTGTGTTGCGGTTTGAAGAGACCAGAGACGGATGGTAGAACAGTTTGGAGTAGACAGATGGAAAAAAGCACTTCGGGGTGCAGCAGTGTGGAAAATACTGCTGGTTACCTTTGCAGTTGATGGAGATTGGTATAGCCCTAAAAGACTCATTGACCCTAAACAGCAGGGAGAGGTAAAGGGTCTCTCTCTCTCTCTCCACTAACCTCTTTCCCTTGTAATGTTGGGAGGTTAGAAGGGAGGCTGAGGCCTAAACACTCCAAATAAACTAGAATTAAAAAAAATGAATGCTCTGCCATTTGATATTCCTCTATTGAGAATTCTCTGTTTAGCTTTGTTCCCCAATTTTTAATTGGATTACTTGATTTGTTGCTTTTCAACTTCTTTAGTTCTTTATATATACTGGATATTAGCCTTCTGTAAGATAGAGGGTTGGTGAAGATTCTTTCCCAATCTGTAGGCATTCGTTTTGTTTTGATGATGGTGTCCTTCACTTTACAGGGGGAGCAGCCTTGCCAGGCCACAGAGGAGGACAATGCAGCCAGTTCAGATGAGATCAGATAAACTAGGGTCAGATGAAAGGGGAGGAGGTTCCATGATGTGCTGTAAAGAAGTTGTACTCTTTTGAATTTGGGCGAAACGTTCTGGAGACATATATTAGGTCCATTTGATTTAGCACCTCTGTAAGTGCCTTTATTTCCCTATTTAGCTTCTGTCTAGATGATCTGTCCCTTGGTGAGAGTGGAGTGTTGAAGTCTCTTCACTATTAAGGTGATGTGCAATTGAAGCTTAAGTAATGTTTCATTTACAAATGTAGGTGCTCTTGTATTTGGGGCATAGATGTTCAGAATTGTAATGTCCTCCTAGTGGATTTTTCCTTCAATGACAACGAAGTGCGCCTCCTTATCTTTTTTTTTTTTTTTTTTATTAATTTTGGTTGAACGTATTTTATTAGGTATTAGGCTAGCTACCCTTAGCTTGTTTTCTGGGTCTATTTGTTTGAAATACATTTTTTCCAGCCCTTTACTCTGAGGTAGTGTTTATCTTTGTTGCAGAGATGTGTTTCTTGGATGCAGCAGAATGTTGGATCCTGTTTCTGCAACCATTCTGTTAGTCTGTGTTTTTTTATTGGAGAGCTGAGTCAATTGATGTTGATAGATAATAATGACCAATGAATATTATTTCATTTTATTGTGGAGTTGGTGGTGTTACTGTGATTAATTGCTTGTTTTCTTTTACTTTTTTTGTGAAAGTTATCTGTATCCTATGTTTTCTTGGGTGTAGTTGTTTTCGTTGGATTGGAGTTTTCCTTCTAGTATCTTCTGTAGGGCTGGGTTGCTGTGTAGATATTGTTTAAATTTAGTTTTGTCATGGAATATTTTGCTTTCTCCATCTATGTTTATTGAAAGCTTTGTTGGGTAGAATAGTCTGGGTTGGCATCTGTGGTCTCTTAAGTTCTTCATGACATCTGCCCAGGCCCTTCTGGCTTTTATAGTTTCTGTTGAGAAGTCTGGTGTGATTCTCGTAGGTCTACCTTCATATGTTACTTGGCCTTTTTCCCTTGCTGCCTTTAATATTTTTTGTTTGTTCTGTAGGTTTAGTGTTTTGACTATGATGTGATGTGAAGAGTTTCTTTTCTGGTCTAGTCTATTTTGTGTTCTGTAAGCTTCTTGTATGTTTATGGACATTTCTTTCATTAAGTTGATAAAATTTTCTTCTATGATTTTTTAAAAAAATATTTTCTGCACCTTAGAGCCTGGAATCTTCTTATTCATCAATTTCTATTATTCTTAGGTGTCATCTTTTCATGGCATCCTTGATTTCTTGGATGTTTGTGTTTGGGACTTTTCCGATTTTACTTTTTCTTTCAGAGAAGTATAAATTCCAGCAAGTGTATCTTCAGCATCTGAGATTCTCTCTTCCATCTCTTGTATTCTATTGGTTATGCTTACCTTTGTGGTTCCTGATCTTTTCTCTAAGTTCTCCATCTCCAGGGTTTTCTCTGTTTGTGTTTTCTTTATTGATTCTAATTCTGTTTTCATGCTTTGCACCTTTTTATTCATCTGTTTGAATGTGGATTCTTGTGTCTTTGGTGGCTTCTAATTTTTCATTTGTTTCCTCTCTATATGCCACTAATTGTGCCTCTACTTGTGTGGCTTTATTTGTCTGTATTTCTTCAAGAGCTTTGTTCATTTCCTCTTCATTTGCTTCCACTTGTGTGGCTATTTCCTTGAGATTTTTGTTTTTTTCCTCTTTATTTGCCTCCACTTCTGTGGCTATTTCTCTGAGAGATTTGTTTCTTCTTTTTGTTCCTCTAATAACTAATAAGCATAGCTTTAAAGTCATTTTCCTGTGTTTCCGATTAATTAAAATATCCATTGATTTTGGGGGTTGCTGTTGGAGCCATGATGTCCTGATTTCTGTTGGGTATGTTCTTATGCGACCTCTGGCCATCTGCTTCTCTGTAACCTTCACTGTTTGTTCCTGCAGTCTGTACTTCAGACTAGAACAGTCTTTCTCTGGTGTCTGGAGTATTGGTCAGGAAGATGATAGAGGTCCACTGGTTTGAGAGTGTGTGTTGATGCTTCAGCTGTTCCTAAGGGAGGAAAAGCTGCTGGCACCGAATTGCTATTGTGGGGGAGCAAGCATGTGTATGTGCGTGTAAGTGTGTTTTGAAGGAGAGAGTGCTAGAGAGTGTAGGTGCTTGGGATGTGGGGGAGGGGAGCAAGTGTGGGAGGGAGTGTGGATGTTAACGCTGTTAGTGGGCACAGATTGAGGGCGCAAAGCGACTGCCCTGAATTCCTGAATACCTCAGTGGTCTACAGTCTTTGGTGGGCCCTGTGGGCCAGACTCTGTGCTCTGTGCAGATGCTGCTTGCCAGACTCTGCACTCTGTGGCAGGCTCTGTGGGCCTGGCACTGCACTCTGTGCTAGGAGCTGTGGGCACAGTGGGCTGGACTCTCCACTCTGAGTTGGATGCTGTGGGACTCCTTTGCCACCTCCGTTTCCACCAAGGAGGGAGAAGGGAGGCCTGTTGTGGGAAAATGCCCAGGGGATTGAGTGTTCTCTGTTTCAAATCTCAAGCAGGGAGTTCTGTGCTTGGAGCAGCCAGCACTGTGCTCTGTGCCAGGAGCTTCTTGCACTGTGGACCCCCTGTGCTGCCTGCACTACTTGCGCTGCCTCTACTGATGTCTGTGGTGCCTCTGCCTGGGAAGTGCCTGGGAATTGTGTTCCCAGGAGAAATCCACAGAGAAGTCCGCGGTTGACCTATATCCTATTGGTCTCAGTTCAGGGTTTGTCTCCTTTCTCCCCGGAAGCCTCGGTGTTGTTGTTTTGGATCCAGCTGTCCCTCCACTCACCAATTTCAGAGTTTTAGATCCTCTGCCCTCAGATACGGTGCATGCTGGTCACCTCCATCTTGGATCTTTTCCTTTATTACAGTTTTTAACTACAACGTTTCTCTGTTATTTTGCTTGGATTCCCTGTCTATTGTTGGCAGTGGTTATTGTGTTCACCTACTATCAGTGTGTAAGGGTCAACATGTAATTTTAACTGTAGTAATATTTCCTTTATGAATTTAGGTGTCCTTGTGTTTGGTGCATAAATGTTTATAATTGCAGTATCTTGTTGATAGATTCTTTTCTTTGGTAAATATGTAGTGTCTTTCCCTATCTCTTTTGACTAGTTTTCATCTTACATCTATTTGATCAGATGTTAAAATTGCTTGTTATTTGATATTAAACACCTGCTTGTTTCTTGGGTCCATTTGCTTGTTTTACCATTTTCCCTACTTTTACCTAGAGATGATGTCTATTCTTGATGGTTAGATGTGTTTTTTGGATGCAGCAGAAAAATATGTCCTGTTCTCTAATCCAATGTGTTAGTCTGTGTCTTTTTATCAGGGAGTTGAGACTGCTAATATTTTTTTTTTTTGCTTTCTTTTTTTTTTTTATTTTTCTTTTTAGTTACATTTTGTTAACTCTGTGTCCCAGCTGTATCCCGCTCCCTCATTCCCTCCCCAACCCCGCACTCCCTCCCTGGTCTCCTCCCTGCCCCTTTCCAAGTCCCCTGATAGGGGAGGACCTCCTCCCCTTTCATCTGACCCTGTTTTATCAGGTATCTTCAGGGCTGGCTGCAAAGTCCTCCTCTCTGGCCTAACAGACTGCTCCTCCCCTGGGGTGGGGGTCAAACAGCCTGCCCTTGAGATCCTATTAGAAATAGTCCGTGTTCCCCTTACTTTGGAAAACTACTTGGTTACTGAGCTACCACAGGCCACATCCGAGCAGAAGTTCTAGGTTATATCCATAGATGGTCCTTGGTTGAGTGTCAGTCTCAGAAAAGACCCTGTGCCCAGATATATTTGGTCCTTGTAGAGCTCCTATCCTTTCCATATCATACTAACTTCCCTTCTTTCATATGATTCCCTGCACTCTGCCGAGGGTTTGGTTATGAGTCTTAGTGTCTGCTTTGAAACACTGCTAGGTAGAGTCTTTCAGATGCCTTTTGTGGTAGACTCCTGTCATAAGTTCAATGCACATCCCATTTGTCTTTCTAAATGAGGATTAATCACCTTTGCCTGTGTCCACTTTCTTGATTATCTTCTTTAGGTGTGTAGATTTCATTATGTTTATCATGTCTTGTAGGTCTATATAAGCGAGTATATACCAAGTTTGTCTTTCTCCTTCTGGGATACTTCACTCAGAATGATCTTTTCTAGATCCCACCACTTGCCTGTAAATTTCATGATTTCTTCCTTTTTCATTGCTGAGTAGTATTCCATTGTGTAAAAATACCACAATTTCTGTATCCATTCCTCCGTTGATGGACATCTGGGTTGTTTCCAAGTTCTGGCTATTACAAATAAAGCTGCTATGAACATGGTTGAACAAATGTCCTTGTTGTGTACTTGAGCAAATTTTGGGTATATACCTAGGAGCGGTATAGCTGGGTCTTGAGGTAGCACTACTCCTAGTTGTCTGAGAAAGCGCCAGATTGACTTCCAGAGTGGTTGTACCAGTTTACATTCCCACCAGCAATGGAGGAGGGTTCCCTTTTCTCCACAACCTCTCCAGCATGTGCTATCACTTGAGTTTTTCATCTTGGCCATTCTGATGGGTGTAAGGTGAAATCTCAGGGTCGTTTTGATTTGCATTTCCCTAATGGCTAATGAGGTTGAGCATTTCTTTAAGTGTTTCTCTGCCATTCGATATTCCTCTGTCGAGAATTCTCTGTTTAGCTCTGTTCCCCATTTTTTAAGTAGATTACTTGGTTTGTTGCTTTTCTGCTTCTTTAGTTCTTTATATATACTTGATATTAGCCCTCTGTCAGATAAAGGGTTGGTGAAGATTCTTTCCCAATCTGTAGGCTGTCTATTTGTTTTGATGACAGTGTCTTTTGCTTTACAGAAGCTTTTCAGTTTCATGAGGTCCCATTTATTGATTGTTGCTCTTAGAGCCTGTGCTGTTGGTGTTCTGTTCAGGAAGTTGTCTCCTGTGCCAATGAATTCTAGGCTGTTTCCCACTTTTTTTTCCAGCTGATTTAGAGTATCTGGTTTTATGTTGAGGTCCTTGATCCACTTGGACTTTAGTTTTGTGCAGGGTGATAAATATGGATCTATTTTCATTTTTCTGCATGTAGACATCCAGTTGGTCCAGCACCATTTGTTGAAGATGCTGTCTTTTTTCCATTGAATGGATTTGGCTTCTTTGTCAAATATTGAGAATTCATAGGTGTGTGGGTTTATTTCTGGGTCTTCTATGCGATTCCATTGATCCTCCTTTCTGTTTCTATGCCAATACCATGCAGTTTTTATTACTGTTGCCCTGTAGTACAGCTTGAGATCGGGAATGGAGATACCTCCAGATGATCTGTTGTTGTACAGGATCGTTTTGGAGATTCTGGGTTTTTTGTTTCTCCATATGAAGCTGAGAATCTTTTTTTCAAGGTCTGTAAAGAATTGAGTTGGTATTTTGATGGGAATTGCATTGACTCTGTAGATTGCTTTTGGCAGGATGGCCATTTTCACAATGTTAATCCTACCAATCCATGAGCACGGGAGATCTTTCCATCTTCTGAGATCTTCTTCAATTTCTTTCTTCAAAGACTTGAAGTTTTTCTCAAATAGGTCTTTCACTTGCTTGGTTAGAGTCACACCAAGGTACTTTATGTTGTTAGTGGCTATTGTGAAGGGTGTTGTTTCCCTAATTTCTTTCTCAGCCTTTTTGTCTTTGGTATACAAGAGGGCTTCTGATTTTTTTGAGTTGATTTTGTATCCTGCCACTTTGCTGAAGGTGTTTATCAGCTGAAGAAGTTCTCTGGTTGAATCTTTGGGTTCGCTCATGTATACTATCATATCATCTGCAAATAGTGACACTTTGACCTCTTCCTTTCCGATTTGTATCCCCTTGATCTCCTTTAGTTGTCTTATTGCTCTGGCTAGGACTTCAAGTACAATGTTAAAGAGATATGGAGAGAGTGGGCAGCCTTGTCTTGTCCCTGATTTCAGTGGGATTGATTTAAGTTTCTCTCCATTGAGTTTGATGTTGGCTATAGGCTTGCTGTATATTGCCTTTACTATCTTTAGGTATGTGCCTTGTATCCCTGATCTCTCCAAGACTTTAAACATAAATGGGTGCTGGACTTTGTCAAATGCTTTTTCAGCATCTAAGGAGATGATCATGTGGTTTTTCTCCTTCATTTTGTTTATGTGGTGGATTACATTGATGGATTTCCGTATGTTGAACCACCCTTGCATTCCTGGGATGAAGCCTACTTGGTCATGGTGGATGATATCTTTGATGTGTTCTTGGATTCGGTTTGCAAGTATTTTATTGAGTATTTTTGCATCAATGTTCATAAGAGAGATAGGTCTGAAGTTCTCTTTTTTTGTTGGATCTTTGTGTGGTTTAGGTATCAAAGTGACTATGGCTTCATAGAATGAGTTTGGTAGTGTTCCTTCTATTTCTATTTTGTGGAATAGTTTGAGGAGAATTGGTGTTAGTACTTCTTTGAAGGTCTTGTAGAATTCTGCGCTGAAGCCATCTGGTCCAGGGCTTTTTTTGGAGGGGAGACTGTTAATGACTGCTTCTATTTCCTTGGGAGATATAGGACTATTCAGTCTTTCTACCTGATCTTGACTTAATTTTGGTAGATGGAATCTGTCAAGAAAGTTATCCATTTCATTTAGATTTTCAAATTTTGTGCCATATAGGCTTTTGTAGTATGACCTAATAATCGTTTGGATTTCCTCAGTGTCTGTAGTTATGTCCCCATTTTCCTTTCTGATTTTGCTGATTTGTATGGTTTCTCTCTGCTTTTTAGTTAGTTTGGCTAAGGGTTTGTCTATCTTGTTGATTTTCTCAAAGAACCAGCTTTTTGTTTCATTGATTCTTTGGATAATTTTATTTGTTTCTAATTGATTGATTTCTGCCCTTAGTTTGATTATTTCCAGCCGTCTGCTCCTCTTGGGTGTATCTGCTTCTTTTTTTTCTAGGTTTTTCAGTTGGGCCATTAAGTTGTTTGTATGTGATGTTACGGATTTCTTCTTATAGGCACTTAGTGCTATAAATTTTCCTCTGAGCACTGCTTTCAATGTGTCCCATAAATTTGGGTATGTTGTGCCTTCATTTTCATTGAATTCTAGAAAGTCTTTAATTTCTTTCTTTATTTCTTCCTTGACCCAGCTGTCATTGAGTAGTAAGTTGTTCAGTTTCCATGTGCGTGTCGGCTTTTTGTTGTTTCTGTTGTTGTTGATGTCCAGCTTTAGTCCATGGTGGTCAGATAGTATACAAGGGATTATTTCGATCCTTTTGTATCTGTTGAGGCTTGCTTTGTGACCAACTATATGGTCTATTTTGGAGAAGGTTCCATGCGGTGCTGAAAAGAAGGTGTACTCTTTTGAGTTTGGGTGAAAAGATCTGTAGACATCTATTAGGTCCATTTGATTTAGGGATTCTGTGAGTGCTTTCATTTCCCTATTTGGTGTCTGTCTGGTTGATCTGTCCCTTGATGAAAGTGGGGTGTTGAAGTCTCCCACTATTAAGGTATTAGGATCAATGTATGATTTAAGCTTTAATATTGTTTCATTTACGAATGTAGGTGCTCTTGTATTTGGGGCATAGATATTCAAAATTGTGATGTCCTCTTGGTGGATTTTTCCTTTGATGAGAATATAGTGGCCCTCCTTATCTTTTTTGATTAACTTGGGTTGAAAGTCTATTTTATTAGATATTAGGATGGCTACTCCAGCTTGTTTTCTGGGACCATTTGCTTGAAAAACATTTTTCCAGCCCTTTACTCTGAGGTAGTGTTTATCTTTGTTGCATAGGTGTGTTTCTTGGATGCAACAGAATGTTGGGTCCTGTTTCCGTAACCATTCTGTTAGCCTGTGTCTTTTTATTGGTGAGTTGAGTCCATTAATATTGATAGATAATATTGACCAATGCATGTTAGTTCCTTTTGTAATGGAGTCGATGATCTTACCTTGTTTCATTGCTTTTTTTCTTTTCATTTTTGTTGGGACATTATCTGTATGCCCTGTTTTCTTGGGTGAATTCGTTTTCGTTGGATTGGAGTTTTCCTTCTAGTATCTTCTGTAGGGTTGGTTTGCTGTATAGATATTGCGTAAATTTAGTTTTGTCATGGAATATTTTGTTTTCTCCATCTATGTTGATTGAAAGCTTTGCAGGGTATAGTAGTCTGGGTTGACATTTGTGATCTCTTAGAGTCTCCATGATGCTTGCCCAGGCCCTTCTGGCTTTCATAGTTTCTGATGAGAAGTCTGGTGTGATTCTGATAGGTCTACCTTCATATGTTACTTGGCCTTTTTCCCTTGCTGCTTTTAATATCTTTTCTTTGTTCTGTAGATTTAGTGTTTTGACTATGATGTGAAGTGATGTGTTTCTTTTCTGGTCTAGTCTATTTGGTGTTCTGTAGGCCTCTTGTATATTTATGGACATCTCTTTCTTTAAGTTGGGAAAATTTTCTTCTATGATTTTCTTGAAAATATTTTCTGGACCTTGGAGCCTGGAGTCTTCTTTTTCATCAATTCCTATTATTCTTAGATTTTGTCTTTTCATAGCATCCTTGATTTCTTGGATATTTTGTGATTGGAATTTTTCTGATTTTACTTTTTCTTTGAGAGAAGTATCAATTTCTGCAAGTGTGTCTTCAGCTCCAGAGATTCTCTCTTCCATCTCTTGTATTCTGTTGGTGATGCTTACTTTTGTGGTTCCTGATCTTTTCTCCAAGTTCTCCAGCTCAAGAGTTTTCTCATTTTGTGTTTTCTTTATTGATTCTAATTCTGTTTTCATGCCTTGCACCATTTCTTCCATGTGTTTGAATTTGGATTCCTGTCTCTCTACAATGGACTCTATTTCTTTGTTCATTTCCTTTTTGTATGCCACTAATTTTTTCTCTACTTGTGCCTCTATTTGTTTGGCTATGTTTGCCTGTGTTTCTTTAAGGGTTTTGTCTATTTCTTCTTTCTTTACCTCCAATTGACTGGCCAACTCTTTGAAAGAATTGTTCATTTCCTCCTTATGAGCCTCAAATAATTGAGCAAGCATGGCTTTAAGGTCATTTTCCTGTGCTTCTGATGAATTGGAATATCCATCGATTTTGGGGTTTGCTGGTGAAGTCATGATGTCCTGATTTATGTTGGAAATGTTCTTTCGCCTACCCCTGGTCATCGGCTTATCTGAGACCTTCCCTGTTTGTTTTTGGATTCTGCCGATCAGACTGGTACTGTCTCTCTCTCGAGTCTGGAGAATTCTTCAGGAAGTTGAGAGAGGTCCCGTGTCCTTAGCGTGTGCTGAGGACTAGCTGTACCTGTGAGAGGAAAGTACGCAGGTGCAAACAGAGGCAAATGCAAGCGTGCGTGCGTGTGTATATGTGTGTGTGTGTGTGTAAGTGGGCGTGGGCGTGTGTCTCAAGGGACAGAGTGATGGCTAATGTTGAACCCTTGAGTGTGTGGGAGGGGCTCTGCAATGTATATGTCGCAGGCGCTAGTGATGATCGCAGCGCAATTTCTGGCATTAACTGCCTTAACTCCTCAATTAGACCCACAGAGCAGGAACTTCAATGATCCAAGTGCCCCTCTGTTTCCCAAAGTGGGTATATGGGTGGGAGGGGGTTCGATGCCTGGCTTCTGTTTTAGAAGGACCCAGGATCAGTGGAGCTGCAGATTCTCAAGGGTTCACTCACTTACAGGCAGGTCACTTGGCAGAGATCGCGGTATCTGGGCTGTCTGCTCTCTGGTTTGGCCCTGCTTCTTTGATGTGCTCTGCCAGTTCCGTGCTGTTGTCACTGCCAGGTTATGAGGTCTTGCTGCAGCTGGAGATTTCAGGGTGGTCACGTCAGTGGGAATCGGGGTAACCAGCCTTTCTGTTCTCTGGTTTGGCCCTGGTTAGTCTTAAACTGGAGGGCTGATGTGCCCCGCCAGCTCAGTGCTGCTCCGCCGCCAGGTTAGAAAGTCCCGCTGCAACTGGAGACTGGGTTGCTAGTCCAGATGCTTTCTGGGAAGTCCTAGGGTCTCTTCACTGTGCTCTCCAAGCTTCGGAGGCCCAGCGCCTGGTGTGTCTAGCTTGTATGGCGTTTCTGTCTGGTTTTGGTGAGTATATAGCGTATTCTCTGTCACTGTGGGATTGGGCGGGCCGTACCGTCAGTGATAGCGATTCTGCGGAGCTAGTATGGCGTCTAGCAGACTCGGGCCCTGGGAGGATGGTGCAGCTGCCGCGCGTGAATCTGGGGCTCCGAGACACAGTACTGCTGGCCTTTGCCGATAAAGGGCTTGGGGCTCAGCCTCAGTGGCTGCAGGCCCCAGGCAGTTAGGTCTGCGCTGAGAAAGGCGAGTCTGCTGTGCTGAGGAGGAGGGAGGTCTGGGGGAGGGGAGTGCCGAGAGATCAAAGGATCGTTTCTCACCTTCCCCAAACAAGTCCCTGGGTGACCCGAGACCAAGGTTTTCACCTCCGGCGATGTTCCCTGTTGTTTAGAAAGTCTCTCCGTTGTTTCCCTGGCTTCAGAAGTTCTTCCACTCATCAACTCAGAACTTTTTCTCTTCCACAGCTTGGAAACTGTGTGTGCTAGTCGCCATCTTGGCTCCGCCCCCTCGAGACTGCTAATATTAAGGGTTATCAATGAGCAGTGTTTATTGATACTTGTTATTTTGTGACAATGTATGGTTTCTCCCATATTTTGGTTTACTGTTCTAGGATTATTTCTTCCTTGTGTCTTCTTGGGTGTAGTTAACTTCTTCAGATTAAAGTTTCCTTTCTAAGGATCAACTTGAGTGAGCTATCCCAGAAGCAGAAAAACACACATGGAATATACTCACTCATATAGACATATAATATAGGATAAACCTACTAAAATCTGTATACATAAAGAAACTAATCTAGAGGGAGGACTTTGGCTAAAACTCTCAATCCCTATCCTGAAAGACAAAGAGGATGGACATCAGAAGAAGAAGAAAACAGGAAACAAGTTAGGAGCCTCCCACAGAGGGCCTCTGAAAGGCTCTGCCCTGCAGACTATCAAAGCAGATATTGAGACTTATGACCAAGCTTTGGGCAGAATGCAGGGAATCTTTTATGAAAGAAGTGGGAAATAGTAGGATCTGGAGAGGACAGAAGCTCCACAAGGAGAGCAACAGAACCAAAAAATTTGAGCACAGGGGTCTTTCCTGAGACTCATACTCCAACCAAGTACCATGCATGGAGATAACCTAGAACTCCTGCACAGATGTAGCCCATGGCAGTTCAGTGTCCAAGTGGGTTCCATAGTAATGGGAAGAGAGAGTGTTTCTGACATAATCTGATTGGACTGCTCTTTGATCACTGTCCCCTCAGGGGGAGCAATCTTACCAGGCCACAGAAGATGACAATGCAGCCACTCCTGATGAGACCGAACAGACTAGGATCAGAAGGAAGAAAAAGAAACCATCCCCTATCAGTGGACTTGGGGAGGAACATGAGTGGAGAAGAGGGAGGAAGGGAGGAATTGGGAAGGGAGGAGGGAGGGAACTAGAGGGTGGATACAGAGTAAATAAAGTGTAATTAAAAAGAAAATAAAATAAAAATTAAAAAAAAGAAGAAAGAGAAAAAGAAAGGAAAGTTGCCTTTCTAGAACCTTTTGTAGGGCTTGAATTTGGTTTTATTATGGTATGTTTTTTTTTAAAATTTTTTATTAATTACACTTTATTCATTTTGTATCCCCCCATAAGCCCCTCCCTCCTCCCCTCCCAATCCCACACTCCCTCCCCCCTCCCCTGCCTATCCCACCCTCCCTCCCCTTTCTGCATGCATGCCACTCCTTAAGTCCACTGATAGGGGAGGTTCTCCTCTTCTTTCTGATCCTAGTCTATCAGATCTCATCAGGAGTGGCTGCATTGTCATCTTCTGTGGCCTGGTAAGGCTGCTCCCCCCTCAGGGGGAGGTGATCAATGAGCAGGCCAATCAGATTATGTCAGAGGCAGTCCCTCTTCCCATTACTATGTAACCCACTTGGACACTGAACTGCCATGGGTTACACCTGTGCAGGGGTTCCAGGTCATCTCCACAAATAGTCCTTGGTTGGAGTATGAGTCTCTGGGAAGTTCCCAGTGTTCAAATTATCTTGTTCTGTTGCTCTGCTTGTGGAGTTCCCGTTCCCTCCAGCTCTTACTATTTCCCACTTCTTACATAAAATTCCATTCACTCTGCCCATCAGTTGGCCATCAGGCTCAGCATCTGCTTTGACAGTCTATACTGCAGAGGCTTTCAGAGGCCCTCTGTGGCAGGTTTCAAGGTTGTTTCCTGTTTTCTTCTGGCTTTCAGAGGCCCTCTGTAGCGGGTTCCGAGGTTGTTTCCTATTTTCGTTTTCTTCTGATGTCCATCCTCTTTGCCTTTCAGGATGGGGATTGAACATTTTAGTTAGGGTCCTCTCTTTTGCTTAGTTTGTTTAGATGTACAGCTTTTAGTGGGTTTATTCTATATTGTATGTTTATATGAGTGAGTATATACCGTGAGTGTCTTTTTGCTTGTGGGACAACTCACTCAGGATGATCCTTTCCAGGTCCCACCATTTACCTGAAAATTTCATGATTTCCTTATTTTTCTTTGCTGAGTAATACTCCATTGTATAGATGTACCACAGTTTCTGCATCCATTCTTCAGTTGAGGGGCATCTGTGTTGTTTCCAGCTTCTGGCTATTACAAATAAAGCTGCTACAAACATGGTTGAGCAAATGTCCTTTTTGTGTACTTGCGCCTCTTTTGGGTATATGCCTAGGAGTGGTATGGCTGGATCTTGAGGAAGCACTATTCCTAGTTGTCTGAGAAAGCGCCAGATTGATTTCCAGAGTGGTTGTACCAGTTTACATTCCCACCAGCAGTGGAGAAGGGTTCCCCTTTCTCCACAACCTCTCCAGCATGTGTTGTCCCTTGAGATTTTCATCTTGGCCATTCTGATGGGTGTAAGGTGAAATCTCAGGGTTGTTTTGATTTGCATTTCCCTAATGGCTAATGAGGTTGAGCATTTCTGTAAGTGCTTCTCTGCCATTCGATATTCCTCTGCAGAGAATTCTCTCTTTAGCTCTGTTCCCCATTTTTTAAGTGGATTACTTGGTTTGTTGCTTTTCAGCTTGTTTAGTTCTTTATATATATTGGATATGAGTCCTCTGTCAGATAAAGTGTTGGTGATGATTCTTTCCCAATCTGTAGGCAGTCGCTTTGTTTTGATGACGGTGTCCTTTGCTTTACAGAAGCTTTTCAATTTCATGAGGTCCCATTTATTGATTCTTGCTCTTAGAGCCTGTGCTGTTGGTGTTCTGTTCAGGAAGTTTTCTCCTGTACCAATGAGTTCTAGGGTATTCCCCACTTTTTTTTCTAGCCGATTTAATGTGTCTGGTTTTATGTTGAGCTCTTTGATCCACTTGGACTTCAGTTTTGTGCAGGGTGATAAGTATGGATCTATTTTCATTTTTCTACATGTAGACATTCAGTTGGACCAGCACCATTTGTTAAAGATGCTATCTTTTTTCCATTGTATGGTTTTGGCATCTTTGTCAAAAATCAGGTGTCCGTAAGTGTGTGGGTTTATTTCTGGGTCTTCTGTTCGATTCCATTGATCCACCATTCTGTTTCTATGCCGGTACCATGCAGTTTTTATAACTGTTGCTCTATAGTACAGCTTGAGATCAGGGATGGAGATACCTCCAGAAGATCTTTTATTGTAGAGGATTGTTTTAGCAATTCTCGGTTGCTTGTTATTCCATACGAAGTTGAGAATTTTTCTTTCCAGGTCTGTAAAGAATTGTGTTGGCAATTTGATGGGAATTGCATTAAATCTGTAGATTGCTTTTGGTAAGATGGCCATTTTTACTATGTTAATCCTGCCAAGCCATGAGCATGGGAGATCTTTCCATCTTCTCATATCTTCCTCTAATTCTTTCTTCAGAGACTTGAAATTTTTTTCATACAAGTCTTTGACTTGCTTGGTTAGGGTTACGCCAAGGTACTTTATGTCATTTGTGGCTATTGTGAATGGTGTTGTTTCTCTAATTTCTTTCTCAGCCCTTTTGTCTTTTGTATACAGGAGTGCTACTGATTTTTTTGAGTTAATTTTGTATCCGGCCACTTTGCTGAAGGTGTTTATCAGCTGTAGGAGCTCCCTGGTAGAGTTTTTGGGGTCACTCATATATACTATCATATCATCTGCAAATAGTGATAATTTGACTTCTTCCTTTCCCATCTGTATCCCCTTGATCTCCTTCGACTGTCTTATTGCTCTAGCAAGGACTTCCAGCACTATGTTGAAGAGATATGGAGACAGTGGGCAGCCTTGTCTTGTCCCTGATTTCAGTGGGATTGCTTTAAGTTTCTCTCCGTTCAGTTTGATGTTGGCTATAGGCTTGCTGTATATCGCCTTTACTATGTTTAGATATGTGCCTTGTATCCCTGATCTCTCCAGTACTTTAAACATGAATGGATGTTGGATTTTGTCAAATGCTTTTTCAGCATCTAGGGAGATTATCATGTGGTTTTTTTCTTTCAGTTTGTTAATATGGTGGATCACATTGATGGATTTCCGTATATTGAACCACCCCTGCATACCTGGGATGAAGCCTACTTGGTCATAGTGGATAATATCTTTGATGTGTTCTTGGATTCGGTTTGCAAGTATTTTGTTAAGTATTTTTGCATCAATGTTCATAAGGGAGATTGGCCTGAAATTCTCTTTCTTTGTTGAGTCTTTGTGAGGTTTAGGTACCAAGGTGATTGTGGCTTCATAGAATGAGTTTGGTAATGTTCCTTCTGTTTCTATTTTGTGGAATAGTTTGAAGAGAATTGGAGTTAGCTCTTCTTTGAAGGTCTGGTAGAATTCTGCGCTGAAGCCATCTGGTCCTGGGCTTTTTTTGGATGGGAGACTTTTGATGACTGCTTCTATTTCTTTGGGGGATATAGGACTATTTAGTTGATTTACCTGGTCCTGATTCAGCTTTGGTGAGTCAAATCGATCAAGAAAATTGTCCATTTCATTTAGATCTTCAAATTTTGTGGCATATAGACTTTTGAAGTAAGTCCTAATGATTGTTTGGATTTCCTCAGTGCCTGTAGTTATGTCCCCCCTTTCATTTCTGATTTTGTTGATTTGGGTGGTGTCTCTCTGCCTTTTAGTTAGCTTGGCTAAGGGTTTGTCGATCTTGTTGATTTTCTCAAAGAACCAGCTTTTGGTTTCATTGATTCTTTGAATTGTTTTATTTGTTTCTAATTGATTGATTTCAGCCCTGAGTTTGATTATTTCCAGCCGTCTACTCCTTTTTGGTGTGTCTGCTTCTTCTTTTTCTAGGGTTTTTAAGTGGGCCATTAAGTTGCTTGAATGAGCTGTCTCGAATTTCTTCTTGAAGGCACTTAGTGCTATGAACTTTCCTCTTAGCACTGCTTTCATTGTGTCCCACAAGTTAGGGTATGTTGTGTCTTCATTTTCATTGAGTTCTAGAAAGGCTTTAATTTCTTTCTTTATTTCTTCCCTGACCCAGCTGTCATTTAGTAACAAGTTGTTCAGTTTCCATGAGTGTGTAGGCTTTTTGCTATTTCTGTTGTTGTTGAAGTCCAGCTTTATTCCATGGTGATCAGACAAGATACAAGGGATTATTTCAATCTTCTTGTATCTGTTGAGGCTTGCTTTGTGACCAACTATGTGGTCTATTTTGGAGAAGGTTCCATGAGGTGCTGAGAAGAAGGTAAATTCTTTTGTGTTTGGGTGTAAAGTTCTGTAAATGTCTGTGAGGTCCATTTGATTCATGACCTCTGTCAGAGATATTGTTTCTTTGTTTAATTTCTGTTTTGTTGACCTGTCCTTTGTTGAGAGTGGGGTGTTGAAGTCTCCCACTATTAATGTGTGGGTATCTATATGTGGTTTAAATTTTATCAATGTTTCTTTTACAAATGTGGGTGCTCTTGTATTTGGGGCATAGATGTTCAGGATTGTGTTGTCTTCCTGGTGGAATTTTCCCTTGATGAGTATGAAGTGTCCTTCCTCATCTCTTTTTATTAATTTTGGTTGAAAGTCTATTTTATCAGATATTAGAATGGCTACTCCTGCTTGTTTCTTGGGTCCATTTGCTTGGAAAGTCATCTTCCAACCTTTTACCCTCAGGTAATGTCTATCTTTGTGTCTTAGGTGTGTTTCTTGTATGCAACAGATTGCTGGGCTTTGTTTACGTATCCATTCTGTTAATCTGCGTCTTTTTACTGGAGAGTTGAGTCCATTGATGTTGAGAGAAATTAATGACCAGTGGCTGTTAGATCCTTTGATTTTGATGTTGGCTGTGTTCATAAGGTTGTGTGCTTGGTTGCTTTTTGTTTTGCTGTAGTAAGGTTAATTATTTCCTGTATTTTCTTGACAGAAGCTAATTTTTTTGGGTTGTATTTTCCCTTCCAGTATCTTCTGTAATGCTGGATTTGTGTGTAGGTATTGTTGAAATTTGTTTTTGTCATTGAATATTTTGTTTTCTCCGTCTATGAGGACTGAGAGTTTTGCTGGGTATAGTAGCCTGGGCTGACATCTGTGTTCTCTTAGGGTCTGCATGATATCTGTCCAGGCCCTTCTGGCTTTCATAGTTTCTGTTGAAAAGTCAGGTGTGATTCTAATGGGTTTGCCATTATATGTTACTTGGCCTTTTTCCCTTGCAGCTTTTAGTATTTTTTCTTTGTTCTGTATACTTCCTGTTTTGATTATTATGTGGCGGGAGGATTTTCTTTTCTGGTCAAATTTGTTGGGTGTTCTGTAGGCCTCATGTATCCTTATTGGCTTCTCCTTTAACTTGGGGAAATTTTCTTCAATGATTTTGTTGAAAATATTTTCTGGGCCTTGGAGAAGGGAGTCTTCTTTTTCCTCTATTCCTATTATTCTTAGGTTTTGTCTTTTCATATTGTCTTGGATTTCTTGGATGGTCTGTGTCAGGAATTTTTTGGATTTAACATTTTCTTTGACAGAAACATCGATTTCTTCCATTGTATCTTCTACACCTGAGATTCTTTCTTCCATTTCTTGTATTCTGTTGGTTATGCTTACCTCTGTAGTTCCTGTTTTCTTCCCTAAGTTCTTTCTCTCCACAATTTCCTCCATTTGTGTTTTCTTTAATTTTTCTAGTTCTATCTTCAGGTCTTGAGTTGTTTTGTTTACTTCCTTCACCTGTCTGCTTGTATTTTCCTCTTTTTCTTTTAGTTCCGTCAACTCTGTCTCTTTGATTTCTTTCAGTGATTTAATTATTTCTTCTTTGAAGGCCACAAGCTGTTTGGCTGCATCTTCCCGTATTTCTTCACAGATGGCCCTAATTTGCTTGTCTTTATCTTCCTCCATTTCTTTACGGATAGCCATGATCTGTTTGGTTTTATCTTCCTATAATTCTTTACGTATTTTATCTGTTTCCTCTATTATTCTCTTCATCAACATAGATGTAAGGTCATCTTCTTGATTTTCTATTATGCTGCATTGTTCAGGGCTGTTCGCCCCTGGATGGCTGGGTTCTGGAGATGCCATATTGCTCTGTCTTTTGTTGGTTGAGCCTTTACGCTGACCTCTACCCATTGGGCTGATTTAGGTGTTGGCTGTTAGTTTCTGTGCTTCCTGGAGTCCTGAGGTAGGGAGTATCCCCTTGGCTGGAAGATGATTTTTCCTGAAGGAGTCCTCCTCTGCTTTTTGGTTATGGTCACTATATGGCCAGTGTTTCTCAGGAGTTGCCACTGCTCACCTCAGGTTTATAGCCCTGAGTAGTAGCTGTGGTCTATGTTAGGCAGGGGGGAATCTCCTCTTACCCATAGAATTTCTCAAGACAGCTGCCCCACTGCTGGGTTTCTTGTTATAAATTTAGTGTGCTGCTGCTCACTAAATTTCCATGTACAGTCCTCTTGAAGAACCTGCTGATTCCCTAGCTGTGGGGTTTTCTCCCAACAGGGAAACTCAGTCTGTTATCCTGGGGCGCACAGTTCTGTCCAGGAAAGTGAGAGGTGCACTTAGCAAGTCTCTGGGCCAGAGGCTGATTGCTCCGCTCTGGACCTGGAGAATGTGCACCTAGGTTGAGTTGGCACCTGGGGGCACTGCTCTGGTCTGGAGGCTGGGTGCCTCACTCTGGACCAGAAGCTGTGTGTCTCTGTCTGGGATGGCAGCTGCAGGCACCGCTGTGGTCCAGACGCTGTGGGTGCAGCCCCCCTGAAGGACCAGGGATTCCCACAGTTTTGACAGTCCAGCCAGGGACAACTGGCCGATCCCTGGCACAGTATCTGAGGGCTGCTCTAATGGCTCTCCGGCTCCTGCAGGTCAGAGGATGCAGCTGTGTGTCCCAGTGCCCCAGGGGAACTCAACAATGGCGGCAGAGCACAGTGCTCCTGCTTGTACTAGCGTCTGTGTGAATCCAGGAAGTGTTTTGGTGCTGGGTGTCCTAAGTGTTAGAGCTGCTGACCCCCTCCGATGGGGGTTTCCTCCTGCCAGAGACACGCAGTCTGGTGCTCTGGTGCCCTGGTGCTCACAGTTCTATCTGAGGTGGCGAATCACGTGTGCAGACAGGGCTCCATGCAGGAGCCTGGGTTCCTGGCTCTGGGTCCACGCTGGCTCCTGGGGTACCCGCAGAACCGGAGTCTTTTCCAGGGGATGTCTGGGTAACCTGGGGTAGGTCCCAATTGTTTCCTGCTCCGTGGGGTTATCTCTCGACTGGGCAATCCAGTCTATGGTGTTGTGGGCCCACAGTTCAGTCTGGGACCGTGACCAGATCACGCTGGCGTGTAGCCCCGGGCTGACGACCAAGCGCCTGGCGGAACCAGGATCTCTTCTGCGGTTTAGCCAGGTGAGTTAAAACTGATTGAATCCCCCACCGTGGGGTATCCTCTCACCTGTGAAACACAATCACTTGTGTTTTATGGCCGCGAGTTCTGATTGCTGGTCACTGTGCCAATCCTGCTGTGCTGCTCCTCAGAATAAGAGTCCTTCCGGCGCCGCCATCTTGCCCCGCCTCCAGTCTCACTCTGTGAATCTTTTTAAAAAAACTTTTGTGTTTTCATTTTCTATGCATTGAAAATATTGTTTATTTAAGTGTGAATCTGATATTTTAGCATAATGTGTTCCTCCATAGCTTAATGAATAGCTATTAAAGTATTAATGAATTAGTTCATATATTTATTATTTATTTTTAAAAACTGTATTATTATGTAGCACATGTTGGCTATCCCAAGGTAATGCTAAAATCACAATCTTCTTGACTCAAATTGTTAAGATTTAGGATTATTAGGTTGAAACAGATGTTAAGGATGAAACAGAAAGGTTGAAAACACAGGTCAAGATAAATTAAAAGCCAAGCAGCTGGGCATGAGATAGACAAATTAAATAGACAAAAGAAGGACAGTATTTTATGAAAAACAAAGGCAGTCTCAACAACCTCTGGCTGGCTCCCATAGAGAACCTTTCTGAGGAACATATCCAAAGTAACTTTGCCCTAGTAAGCTTCTCAATTCCACGGGCACTTTGATCTTCATAAATATTCATATTGTACCTAATTTTAACAGCCTGAATTGTGTATTAAAACAGCTTCTAGGAGGAGGAAAAAAACCCTAGACCATTCTAAGAAGTAACATTTACTATACACAGATTTACAAACACAGATTTTAGAAGAAAGTGTTATTGTTGTCATTTGGCTGGCTTATTTGGTTGTCCACAGTGGAGTGGACTTCATGGTCTTGCTTATTCTCCCAATAAAAATAAACTGTGACTGCTTGTTCTGTCTGAACTGATGTAAATTCCTATTCCTTTACAGCTTAAGAAATAAGACTTCTGCAAACAGAATTCCTATTAGTGTCTTATTGTGTAATCTACACTGGCCTTAAATATTTTGTGTACTAGAGTAACATTCAAGTCATGAACCATGTACCTCAGTTTCCCAAGTTATGGAATTACAACTTGGATAAAACTTTTTTCTAAAATTTATTTCTGTCTGATATTAATATAGTTTCTTCAATCAGCTTTTTCTTACACAGAGTATGTTAACTGATGACATCAATTCTTCTAGTCAAAGAACTAGTTTATATTTAGGTTTTTATCTTTAGTTCATTCTTATTATCTCTATTTTTTATTGCAATTTTTAGTCTTTTCATATTTGGTATTTTTTTAAAAATTTTTATTAATTACACTTTATTCACATTGTATCCCCCCATAAGCCCCTCCCTCCTCCCCTCCCGATCCCACCCTCCCATCCCTTCCTTCATGCATGACCCTCCCCAAGGCCACTGATAGAGGAGGTCTTCCTCTCCTTTCTTCTGATCTTAGTCTATCAGATCTCATCAGGAGAGGCTGCATTGTCATCTTCTGTGGCCTGGTAAGACTGCTCCCCCCTCAGGGGGAGGTGATCAAAGAGTAGGCCAATCGGTTTATGTCAGAGGCAGTCCCTGTTCCCATTACTATGGAACCCACTTGGACACTAAACTGCCATGGGCTACATCTGTGCAGGGGTTCTAGGTTATCTCCATGCATGGTACTTGGTTGGAGCAGGAGTCTCTGGGAAGACCCCTGTGCTCAAACTTTCTGGTTCTGTTGCTCTCCTTGTGGGGTTCCTATCCTCTCCAGCTCTTATTCTTTCCCACTTCTTACATAAGATTCCATGCACTCTGCCCAACAGTTGGCCAAAAGTCTCGGCGTCTGCTTTGATTGTCTGCAGGGCAGAGCCTTTCAGAGGCCCTCTGTGGCGGGTTTCTAGCTAGTTTCCTGTTTTCTTTTTTTTTTTTAATTTTATTTTTCTTTTTAGTTACATTTTGTTAACTCTGTGTCCCAGCTGTATCCCGCTCCCTCATTCCCTCCCCAACCCCACACTCCCTCCCTGGTCTCCTCCCTGCCCCTTTCCAGGTCCACTGATAGGGGAGGACCTCCTCCCCTTTCATTTGACCCTGTTTTATCAGGTATCTTTAGGGCTGGCTGCAAAGTCCTCCTCTGTAGCCTAACAGTACTGCTCCTCCCCTGGGGGGGGGATCAAACAGCCTGCCTTTGAGATCCTGTTAGAAATAGTCCGTGTTCCCCTTACTTTGGAAAACTACTTGGTTACTGAGCTACCACGGGCCACATCTGAGCAGAAGTTCTAGGTTATATCCATAGATGGTCCTTGGTTGAGTGTCAGT